ATGGAATTATTCTAGAGCCAGAACTCCAGTATTCGAAATATATATGTAATTTTTAGAAACTTAAGATACGCATCATAAAGGAAAACGCAAACATCTTAATTGTAAGAAATGTTTTTTCTCTTTCGTTTCTCATGGCCAGTAAAGCGAGTGAAAAAAGAAGGAATTAACAATTCCCAAGTTTTCTATCATTCTAAATAACTGATATATTCAGATTTTGATTATGTGGTAAATATTTTTTTCATTATAAAAATTTTTAATTTTATTGTTGAAATAAAAATTAATAATTATCTATAATGATTCTAGACAATTATTGGAATAATACAATTCCTAATACAAATTTTAAATAATAATTAATTTTTAATGGAATATATCATCTCTGTGGTAATTGTAATTTTATCGAAAATAATGAAATTAAATGTAAGTGCATTCTCATTTTATATTATCCTTTGATTTAAAATCTTATTCCTAAGAATTTATTTTTAATATAAATTTTGAAAAGAAATTTACGACTCGATAATAGCGAAAATAAATACTTATGATTGTCGAATATAGTATAACATTTATCTTTTTCATTTTATAATACTATTCATTTTAACTTTGAATCTAATCTATCTCTTGTATAAATTTTAAAAAAAAATTTACATGACTCGATAATTCGATAAAAATAATTTGTAAGTGTTTCTTATTGTTAATTTTTCGTCATGAACATTCTTTAACTTTTAAATATTGTAATTCATTGTTTATTCGATACAAAATTGATATTAATTAATTTAATTTAAATGTAAATTTAATTACGGTATTTACAATTTATTTTATTTAATGAATTGAAAAAATATAACCATAATCTCTTTCTTAAATTGCTAAATTAATGGATACAGTTAGATTGTTTAGATTGTTCCCTCTGAGAAATGCCCTAAAATTCTTGGAAACTTGCCTTCATCGAAAAAGGGATTAAGACATCAGGGTCCAGAATATATGCATATATAATGCAGATTCAACAAAGTGACCATTCGATATATTAATCTCAACTTGAACAACTCTTAAAATGTAATTTGTCTAGCATTTAATGGCATAAACTGTAAAAATTCCAATAATCTTTGGAATGTTACGATTATTTTTGAGTTGCATTATATTACATTCAAATCTTGTATATTGTTATATTCTGACGAATGAAATAGAAATTTGTATTATTGAAATTTAATTTTAAATATCTAATTTTATATTTAACGATCTACAAAATTTATATACATGCATATTTTTATCAAAATATGAACAAAAGATAAATATTATACAAAATATAGAATAATATGAATCTAATAAATTATAATCTAAATCTAATAACTTTAGATAGATTATTACAAATATATTATTACAAATATATTAATATATTATATTATAAATAATATATTAATATATATTATTACAAATGAAATCCATATTCATCAAGGTTAGTTATGAAATTGTAAATTTCAATGTATCCTGTAACAGTAAATAATCGAATAATTATAACGTCCACAATTCACGTTTTTCATGATGTCGCAAATAATATCATTCATCCATTATATGCGCATGTAGAGAGTACATATAGTACGCTTTTGCATGGTTTTGTTTTTCTCTCTTTAAGCAGCATCCCTCTAAGAAATGAACAAATTCTCACGAAAGAATAATAATATCCGTTAATACTTATTTTTCACGGATGACATCGAGTTCGGGTTATCTAGTTGATGTTCCTATACCAACTCGAACAGACTGGGAAAAGGTCTCTAAGCCCCAGGGCTTAGCTCGGACCACCGTTGGCGTAAAATCTCTCTCGTGTTGCTTCCTTTTGATCCCGAATAACGCCAATTCTCGCCTTGACGGATTCAGAAACGCCGCCAGGCATTTGATACACGTGTTTTCTTTTTTAGGGGAAAAAGGAAAAAATATTGTAAAAGTATATTTCGAAAGTTCTATGTATAAAAAATGTTTTAATGAAATTATTTAGTAATATATTGTGCTGACATTTATATGACTATTATTATTTTACTAATAGCAATTATTTTACTTTTTAAATATACTGTAAAAACAAGATAATTAACATGAAAAATTATTAATTCAACACACATATTGAATTATAAATTAATAGCAATATATATATCAATGTTATAAAATATAATGTTATAATTAATAGCAATATATAATAGCAATATTAATAACAATGTTATAAATTAATAGCAATATATATATCAAATGTTAAAAAAAATTTATTACATAAATTATTAGATTTTTATAATTAATTAATGAAAAATACAAAAATTTATATTAGAATCGAATTCTAATTGATAGTATTGTCGCGATTTTCAATAAGTTAAATAAAAGTTAATAAAAGTAATAAAGTTAAATAAAAGTAAGTTATGATTTTCAATAAATTAAATAAAAAATAATTTAAAAAAATTAAATATAATACTTCATTTATTTCAGTTAAATTTTTTATTAATTTTTATAGAATTTTTTAATTTAATAATTTAATTTTATAATCTTATTATATCAAAAATGAGATCTATTGAGATAGATGTATAAAAAAAAGCAATGTTGTGGAAGGAAAAAGTTTGTTTAAAACATATCTCTCGTCATAATTCTCTCGTGATACAAAACTTATTTATCTAAAAGAAACAAAGAAAGAAAAATCTTATCAATTTTAATATAAAAAGAAAATTATATATATTAGTAAATATTAGTAGTTATATATATTAGTAGAATGTTAATATATTTATGGAACACTTGGTCGATTCTAGAGAACAAAATAAACAAAAAAATGATACACAAAAGCGTTGACTAACATTTATTTCTTAAGTTATAAATAGTTATAAATAATTTAAATTCGTTAAATGAAGAGAAACAGAAACAAAGACAGTAGAAGGAAATTTTTTTATTTTAAAAATATTTTATCCAATTTTTTATATTTTTACATTTGAATTTTTCTGTAAGGTATATCAATTTTATGTGATTATATAACTTAAATGGATTCTCGTTTCAGTTGTATTCTACTATCTACTCTATATATCTTATATCTTATAATGATTTCTCTTTTATTATTTGAAAGCATTTAACTAGTTAGATTTAGTGTTTTTTAGTTTATTCCAAACGAGATATAATTTTTAATTTTTTATTTTATAAATTTAGTTGAAATGTTTTTTCTACATCTTCATTGCGAATGTGTACATTTAATTTCATCTTCATTTTCTTTCTTTGCATGTCTTTGATTATTTTATAATAAAAAATAGAAAATTATTTATATTTATTTTTGTTTTATTTCGTCTAATGCAAATTTCAATTGTTCATATATTAATAAATAATCTTTAACATTTTTATTTTTTTTTTTTTTGATATATAACATATCAATTTTTATATTTATTTTAACCTCTAAAATATCTTAATTTGTATACACTAAGCTTCGCAGTTATACTTCGTCTCTATTAGACTGTACGAACACGAATTCAGACGAGTTCGAACGAATCTAGCCGAACTTACCCGAATTAAAAAAAGATAGATAGAAACAGTCTCTAATTATTCGGCCTCCTTGTGATTTGAAATTCTGAAGAATAAAATAACTCTAAAGAACGAATAAACAAATTTGTTCTTATTAACTGTTTCGATTTTCGAAAAATTAAAAAATGGTTTCATTCGATATTTAAATAAAGCATAAAATCGATTATTGATTTTATATAGAAAAAAGTATACTGGACTGATATCCATTGATTAATATATCCGTCTTGATGATTGATGGTTATTCGCGTTGAAACCGGAAGCATTATCACACTTCATCGCGTTTTACTCTTGTTTTATCTGTTTCACTGATTTCTCTTTTGTTTTCTCAGAACTTCGGGTAGCAACGAAAGATTTGATCAAGTCGAAATCGAACTTGGAAGATTCTTTTCATCAATTTCAAGCAAGTTTCGACTAACTGGATTGAACTAATTGTTTGGATTTGTTTCAAGTTTAAAGGGATTGGGTACTCGTGAGAATACATATTTTATTTCGTGGAAAGTGAACAAAATCGAATAAACCGATAATTCAATTAGAGATTAAAGAATTTGTAATTTTTTTTTAAAGCAATATATTGTTTTATGAATAAAATATATTAATAAAAAATATATATAAAAGTATATATATGACAATTGGAATATTTATTATTAAAAAATGCTTATAATAAAAAGTATATAATTTTGTTTTCGATAATTATTATTACACCTAAATTCTATATTATGAATTGTTTTACGCAAATGACTATCACTTTATATAAAAAAATGTAGATTTAAATCTTATATCTAACCATATTTTTTATTAATAAAAAAATAAATTAATAATTTGTGTTTATTGTTTATTATTAACAAAAAGTAATTATGTCTTTTTTATTTGCAAATCGGAATTTAAAAAAATTTGGAAAAAATTAAAATAAAAATTTATTAATAATATATATTTATTAAGTTAAAGTTAAATCGAAATAATAATTTTCTGATAATTTATTTTTTTAATTTTTATTATTATCGTCGAAATATTTTTTCATATATAGCTTCTTATATATAATATTTATTAGTTCTTTACTGTATATTTTTACTCGAGTTGAATATTTAATCATTTAACACTGTTTATATATCATATTTAATACAAAAATAGAAAATTATTTATTTGCAGTAATAAATAATAAAAAAAACTTTAAATTCTTTAATTTGTTCTTCCTTGATAAAAAAATATTTGATTATCAAACAAAATTCTAAAACTTATGCTTCCCATAAATTTATACAAGAAAAATAATAAATTACAATTAAGCGTAATTAATTTGACAAAAAAAATTTCATTACAACTTTGTAATTGGATCATTCTTAAGCAATGAAAAATGTTACTATTAATGGAGAATCAAGCACGCGATTACTAATCGTAACCATTTTACCAGACAATTTTGGTAAACCTCTGACCACTTCGGTTGGAAACATACTAATTCGCCATTCTTTTTCTGTCAGGTCACAAAATCCAGAGGGAATTAGAGCGTACACCGCGGGATCAGTTAGTAAGTAATTTGCTAAATCCTATTAGAGTAACACTCGCAGGTGAAATTCGCGTGAAACTCTGGCCAATGACAAGCGTTAGTTCTTTTTCTCTTGCCACGGTTCGCGTGCCAGCCTCGAGGACACGTAACTGTGGTCTGTTGATACTGTGCAAAATAATTAACTTTGCGCTAATGAAAAAAATTAACCGTTCGCACGAAATCGTTGTTTCTTGAGAGAATGGAATGAAGTTAAATATCTGTGCAATTTTTCTTTAAATATCTCGAATATTATTGTAAAGAATATTAGATGTTAGAAATAAACATTTATATTAAATCATTACAGAAATAATATCAAAGTTCAATTAAATATCAAAGAATTTATTATAAGTAATTTTTAAAACAAAATTGAATTATCACAAATATATATATAATTATAAAATATAATTATAATTATAATTTAACTATAACTATAATTTATAAAATAAATAACATGCTGTAATATATTTTAATATTGTCGAGAATATTTTATTAATCATATTTACAAAATTAATAATAATATAAAC